AAAAAAAAAACAAAAAAAAAAAAAAAAACATGTATACAATTATAATTCAGATATACAATAGATTTATCATAAATCAAGAAACTAATTGGAAGCCGAAAACAGTTCAATATATGCAAAATAAGTATATTAATTACGATATGAACCCAAAAGTCTTCATCTTATAATCATATGTCGTGTGATGAAAACTAGTTCACTGTAGACGGATTGCAAACACTTTCATCTTCTCATTTCAACATGAACTAGAGTCTAACAACCTTCATATTGAAATTGTGTATTGATTTTCGACTTAAAATGTATTTATTAACTTCTATCATTGAATAAATCATATCAAGAAAAAATATGGTATGGCATTTATGTATAACTTAAACCGTAAAAGTTAAAGTCAATCGATCTTTCTCATTCTCAAATCAAACAGTACCACAAAAAAATAAAAACCCACAAAAAATTGGACCACTTAAAAACTAGAAAACATGTTATGAAGTTTGGTCTAGGTGTGAATGAAGGTACATAGGTATACCAAGACATAATGTATCACAAGGATATTTTTTATATGTGAACACTTTTTTAAGCATACAATTCAATTTATAAAGTGATCGTTTAATATTCATTTTCAGTCCGACAACATAAGTTGTCAGATTTGGCTAAAGTCTATAATTTCAATCCATCGACATAAGGCACTACCTTATCATAAAATTATTACTTGCGTATTTATTTCTATAGTTGGTGTCATTTTTCTAGTCTGTCAAATTATTGACACCTAATAAATGCTCTACATATCGACATACACACACTCTCTCTCTCTCTTTCCACCACAAAATAAATTATTTTCCATAATATAATAAATATATAAGTTCAATCCTTTACTATATGACATCTTAAAACTTTATATAACAATCTACAAATCATATAGAAGATAAATGTAAATAAGAAAACAACAAGAATCTTTTAGTTGTGAACAAGAGTAGACAAACAGTTGTAAATCGAGTTTTTAATTTCAACAACACTACACACACACAAAATAGACACCAAAGAAAATACATCGCTATTTTTTTCCCCATTCCACTAAGGTTAAATTTGTCTATTCACAAGCTAATTTGGTGTCAAAGCTGCTTAAACATATGGCAAAAGCTTGAAACGCAGATAAAGGGTACCGATAATCCATTGTAAACATATCTTTCCCAACTTTCCCAAACTGCAAGATCACCTTATCATGCTCCGGTGGCGGCGGCGGTGGCGGCGGTTGTGGCGGCTGAGACGGTCCGGCCACCGGTGTGGCGGCGATCAACTGAAAATTCTTAACAGACGCGATCGTCACCCGTCCCCTAAAATTCAAACACCAACACTGCAACTGTTCGTGCCACCTAGGCGACTTGTTTTTCAAGACCAAGGGCATTTTGGACCTTTCACTCTCGGGAACATCGGATGACGTGGCGGTGCCAATGGCGGCTCCCATGATCTCGGAGAATCTTGAGCTGCTGAATTCGGCGGAGTGGTCGAGGGATTTTGAGAAGGACATGCTGCGGAAGGAATCTTCTAAGGAGCGGGGCGGCAGGAGGTGGTCCGGTTGACCGGGGACTGAGCCGCCTGGCTCGAGGGAGGAGGCGGGAATTGAGTGCATGACACAGTGCATTCTGCGGGGCCCACGTGTCCCGAGGACGTTGAGCTCATAGGTGATGTGGGCTATGTTGTAGCTGCCACTTGGCATTTTTGGAGACACTTTTTTCGAGTAAAATCTCCGGCTTGATCTCCCTGGTGCTGGAATATTCACGCCGGAATGTGGTGGTTGTGTGTCGTATATTAGAAACTTTGTCCCGAGAAAATTAGATCTGAAAAATAAAATGACCAAACTACCCTTGTTATGGATATATGGATAGAGTATCTCAATGGGTGATGATGTTTGTCTGTCTGGATAAAGTGTTGTATACAAACGGTCTGAATGAGACAAAATGACCAAACTACCCTTATATTTCAAATTTCACAAATTTCATTAGTTATAACGAAATTTAGATCAAACACCAAAATGACCAAACTACCCTTATATTTCAAGAAACAAA